TGCCATACCACCCACATACAACATGGAGCATATCACTACATACAATCTGGAGCCATACTCCCACATACACCTGAAGCCTACCACCCACATACACTGGCGCCATACCACCCACATACAGCTGGAGCCATACCACCCACATACACCTTGAGCCATACCACTCACAACACCTAGCCATAACCAAAAAACCCCCCCCCACATACACCTGGAGCCATACCCAACACACATCATCTTGGATCCATACCACCCCACATACACCTGGAGACTACACACCCACATACACCTGGAGCCATACACCCAAATACACCTGGAGCCATACCACCCCCATTTCACCTCGAGATATACACCAACATACTCTGTATCCATCCCACCACATACACTTGGAGCCATACCATCCCACATAACACCTGGAAGCCATTCCACCCCCATTCACCTGGAGCCAATACCACCACATACACCTGTAGACATACCACCACACATACACTTGGAGCCATAACCATCGACATTCACCTGGAGCCATACCACCCACATACTACCTGAGACATACCACCAACATACACCTGGAGATATACCACCCACATACACCTGGAGACATACAACCCACATACACCTAGAATATCCCACCCTCATACACCTGGACCCGTAACCACCCCACATACACCTGGAGTCATACCACACACATACACCTGGTATTCCGATACCCCCACATACACCTGGGGACTACCACTCCACATACACCTGGAGGCCATAACCCCCCCTAAAGCAACGACCATACCACCCACATACACCCTTGAGTCATACCACCCAACAAGCAACTGTATCCATACCACCCACATACACCTGAAGCCATACCACCCACATACACTGGAGCCATACAGCCACATTCACCTGGAACCCATACGCACCAATATATACCTGGAGACATACCACCCCACCTACACTGGAGCCATAACCCCTCAACCAACACCTGGAGCCATACCACCCACATACACCTGGAGAGACATACCACCCACAAACACCTGGATACATACCACCCACAACACCTGGAACTTACCACCACCGCATGCACCTGAGCCATACACCAAAATGCACCTGGAGCCATACCACCTTACATACACCGGATCCATACCACCCACATAACACACTGGAGCCATATCATCCACGACACCTGAACATACCACCCACATACACTTGGAGACATACCACCGCACAGTTTACCTGGATACGAACACCGAACTTACACCTGGAGCCATACCACCAAAATACACCTGAAGCCATACCACCCACATACACCTGGACCATACGCACCCACATACACATGGAATGCCATACCACCCACATACACCTGGATAGATTACCACACCCGCCACACACACATGGAACCATAACCACCCACATACACCTGGAGCCCTACCACCCAAATACACCTGGATCCATACCGACCTCACTTACATCTGAGCCATACCACCCACATACACTTGTAATCCAGACCACCACATAACAACCTGGATTCCATTCCACCCACATACACCTGGATCCATACCACCCACACACACCGGATAGAAACCACCCCTGAACAGCTGGAACAATACCATCCACATCCACCCTGTATCCATACCATCCCACATACACCTGGATCCATTCCACCCACAGACACCTGATCCATAACACCCACACACCCCTGATAGAATACCACCACACTTTACAGCTGGAACTAAACACCACATACAGTTTGTCCTCCACATCACTGAGTGCCCAACACCAGGTTGTCGTTAGCCTCCCGTAACTTGATGCTCCAGCTTCCGCTTAAACCATCCTGCATCTTTCATGCGGCCTCTCAATCCATCAGTGCCTCTGTTAATCCGTAACGAGAGGTTTCTGCAGTATTTCCCTGCAAGGGATGAGGTGGACTTTGATATCTCTGAGGGCTCTTGATCGAGTTTGGATATCTCCAAGTTTACCCAGTGCTATATGATGACCTTCAGTGCTTAGGCGCTTTTCCATGATTAAATCAATCAGGCAATATATATTTTTACCAATCGTAAGCCGTGAGGAACAATCAGCATTTTTGTGTATATATTTTTATTTTTTCTTTAAAACAGGTAATAAATGTGTCCTTAAGGGCATGCTTTTAATTCCAATTGTTTCTCTGAATTAATTTAATTTTTTCCTTTTTATTTTTCATAAGGGAAAGACCATCGTTTTCGTTGACTCAGATTGCATGTTTAGTCGTGACACAGATTCATGTTTTCGATGACACAGATTGCTTGTTTCGTTGACACAGATAGCATGTATTCGTTGACACAGAATTGCATGTTTTCGTTGAAAACGGGAAGAATAACCAATATGTTTAATAGAAGTAATTTTGTAGTATAATGAAAAGGCTATAGGAGTTTGTTCCACGATGTTATTGGTATTGACGAGTACAGTATATGTGTATGCAAAAATAGCTGAAAATTTCAGGCTGGCAAATGGCCATCATATAACTAAACTCTCTTCCCTCATGTTTACTCTGTCTTACAAATTTTGAACGTTCGAGTTTCACTATATTACTGATTTTCACTCATCTTTATTACTTAACGACTTGTCGACTGAGGATATCGTATATCCAACTTGGACACGTTTATAGTGTATGATATACCTGACTCAATATAATATAACCCACGGAGAACGTTATACTCTACTGGTATGTAAAAATACCCTGCAGGGATATGATATACGAGCTGCTAAACTGATAAGAGACCTGAGATACCATACAAACACTAGACAAAGGAACACTGTTATTTTGTAAGGCTCGTACTCACCACCCCTTGACATAAATATCAGACATTTACCTCTCGCCCGGTGAAGATAGCATCGTTCCTCCAGTAACAACTCCGTCAAGTGTTCCAGATGATGATGCGCATTCGTAGCTCTTGGGCTTGGCGGGGTCACGTCCAAGGAGTTCCGGCAAGGGGCATTTTCCATCCGGGAGCCCACATGTCTACCCACATCTCAACTTGCCCTGTTATGAAACGTGGTAAGACATCAGTCATTGAAAAGCTTGGGACATCTTACTCCTCGTTTTATTAACAATTTCATCCTCTGTCAAAAAAACTACGTGTTTACAGGCGTGTCATAATACCTTCACTGTATGTGGACGTATAATAAGACATGATATGAAGTTTATGGCTTTCACTGAGGAAACCTTCGTACATCGGGGATTTTATCATGGCTTGATAAAGCCATGGTGGGCGAAACGTCTTTATAAACATCGAAAATTCGCATATTGTATCTTAAGAACATAAGAAGAAAGAAAACGCTGCTGTAGCCTACTGGACTATTCTAGTCAAATCTAACTCACGCCTACTCATGACCTTGTATAACTTATTCCTTACAACCACACAGGACAATCGTTTGAAATGAAGCTACAGCGGCGAGTTTGATGAATCAAACCCGCCGTGGAGCTCATTCCAACACTACTACCGAACTACTGTCTCTCCTGTACCTTTTCTAAATCTAAATTTCTCCAACTTGAACCCATTACTGCGAGTAGCCTGTCCTTTGGTTACGTATGTTAGCACTTATTTATATCCTCTTTTATTTAGTCCTGTCTTCCATTTATTACACCTCAGACATATCAGTCCTAATTCTAACGCTACGCCTTTCCAGACAGTGCAGATCAGTGCCCTCTCCGCGTAGGTACTTATCAGTATTTTAAACAATTAACAACATTATTCCTTTCAGCTCGAAATAGTCTAAGAATTCTTGATTTTTTTCCAAGGCTTTGAAATATTCACGTCAGATGCTTAAATGTGGAATAAAAAATGGTTTCTACATTAGTAGTGAGATATGCTCGTAGGTAGTTAAGGAGAAGTGTGAGGAAAGTGTCCTGAGTATCATAGTGACTGGAGCAGCTTAGACACAATAAAAACACATGATACACTTGTGTAAGACATATGTGTAAAGACACTGTGAATCAGTTACGTATCTTTAGTTCTTAAAAAGAGTCAAACTGTAATAATGGTGGTAGAATTACTTAAAATATGTTATGATAAAAGGACACAAGTGCATCTTATGTTCTATTTTATTGTGGGTAACGCTTCTTTTTCTCTTGGAGCTTTGTCAAGAAGACCAAAAGCACCTGGAGAGGAAACGTTGCCACAATAAAATGTTCACACTAGTTTCACCTTTTGTCCTTTTACCTAACAGATACCAAACTGTTGCACAGTTTCTTACTTACAGTGGCAGGTACATGTAAACCATTATCACAGTCCACGTTTCTATATCTTTAAGTTAATGAAACAGTGTTAATCATGTGCCAGGAACTAAATACCATAAGCTGAAGGCAAAAAACTGAATTCCACATAGCACTAAAACACGCGATCTGAGAGCAAGAAACAAAACTGTTGTATTGGGTACAACATCCAGCAGTTGTCAGGAGCCTCAAGTCACGAAGTTGTTTTTCTCGCATATTTTCGGTATTTATAATTAATTGTAATCAATCCCGTAAAAACTGATATCAAAGAAAATTAATTATTTAGTATTTATCAAGAATAGTAAGGTGTCAATAAGGATTTAGAAAGGGAGTAAAATAAATGAATTACCTGTAGCATCTTACTAAAATGATACATGTGCCCAACCAAATGTGACTTTTATTGTGGCATCGTATTCGCTCTCCAAGCCATGACGAAGTTTCCTTGAAAGCGAAACGTTGGCACCACAAAATATTCACATAAATGCACATGTGTCCGTTTACCTAATATAAGAAAGGTAGATATTAGATAAAAAAAAATCGGAACACAAAATTCGTCCTTATAAAAAAAAATGAATGAGGACTGAGCGTCCCTCAGAGTCAGGAGGCCCATTAGCTGAAGAGGCGCCAAGTAGTTAATTTAATGCCGAATTGAGGGCTGGTCTGGGGTGCGGGCGTGGTTTCCGGATAAAGTCCTACGGTGTGAAAACCTCAGGAGACCTTGGAGACTAACATAACCACAGCCTAACACATTGCAATATCCGGTCAGACTGAGAAGAGAATTAGTGGTTTCCGCCATGTAACTGAGAACAGATTACCAGTAGAATGTCTGAAACTGAGCATCAAAGTGTTCACACAGTTCACTGTTGTCCCATGCGACTCCACGCACGAGTGGATTGTAAGTTCACAATTCGACAAGCATGATGGTTACTCACCTGTTCGATGCCAGGCTTATTCCGGTTAAAAGAGGAGGACGAGTCTCAAGTGTTCTGGCACCAGTCTGGCTCCCCCCGGGCACCTCCTCCCAGCGTGAAGCACTGCCAGGGCCAGCTCTCCTCGCTCACTGTTTAGTAGTTGAAATAAGAATACATAAAAATGATAGAATGACAAAGAACAATGAAAGATATAAAAAAAACAAGCAAAAATATCATATATATATATAGTATAATATATATAATAGTATATATATATAATATATATATATATATATATATATATAGATATAGATATTATGATATTTTTGCTTGGTTATTTTTATATCTTTCATTGTCTTTGTCATTCTAACAGTTTTTGTATGTAGTCTATTTCACTACTAACGTGAGCGAGAGCAGCTGGCCTTGGCAGTGCTTTCACCGCTGGGAGGAGGTGCCACGGTGGGAGCCAGACTGGTGCCAGAACACAATGAGACTCGTCCTCTCTTTAAACCCCGATAAGCCTGGCATCGAACAGGTGAGTAACAACAGCTGACGAATAGTGATTTACAATCCACCTGAGCGTGGAGTCGCATGGCACAACAGTGAACTTGGTGAACCACTTTGTTGCTCAGTTTCAGTACATCTACTGGTAAACAGTTCTCACTTAATGTCGAAACACTAATTCTCTTCTCCAGTCTGCCGAATTGCAATGTGTTAGCTGTGGTATGTTTAGTCCCAAGTTCTCCCTGAGGTTTTCACCCCGTAGACTTTAATCCCTGAAACCACGCCCGCACCCCAGACCAGCTCAATTCGGCATTAAATTAACTACGGGGCGCCTCAGCTTATGGGCCTGACTGCTGAGGGACGCTCACCTCATTATTTTTTTTTATAAGGACGAATTTATTGGTTTCCGATTTTTTTTATCTAATATTCTACCTTTCTATATTAGTCAACGGACACATGTGCAATTAATTTGATATTTTGTGGTGCCAACGTTTTTCGCTTTCAGGAACCTTCGTCATGCTTGGAGAGCGAAACGATGCCACAATAAAAGTCACAATTGGGTTGCACATTAATCCATTTTAGCAAGATGCTACAGTAATTCCAATTATTTTACTCCCTTTCTAATCCTTATTTGACACCTTACACTTCTTGATAAATACTAAATAATTAAATTTCTTGATATCAGTTTTTAACGGGATTGTTTACAATTAATTTAAATACATAAAATATGCGAGAAACAACTTCCGTGGACTCGAGGCTCCTGACACACTGATGGGAAGTTGTAACCATCACCAGTATTGTTCTTGCTCTCCAGATCGCGTGTTTTATGGTAGACAGCAACCACCCAGGGAGGTACTACCGTCCTGCCAAGTGAGTGTAAAACAAAAGCCTGTAATTGTTTTACATGATGGTAGGATTGCTCATGTCTTTTGTCTGTCTCATAAATATGCAAGATTGCAGGTACGTCTTGCTACTTCTACTTACACTTAGGTCACACTACACATACATGTACACGTTTATTTATAAACACTCATCTGAGTTTTCTTTGATTTTATCTTAATAGTTCTTGCTCTTATTACTTTTCCTTTTATATCCATGGGGAAGTGGAATAAGAATCTTTCTTCCGTAAGTCATTCGTGCTGTAAAAGTCAACTAAAATGCCGGGAACAAAGGGCTAGTAACCCCTTTTCCTGTAATAATTACTAAAAAGAATAAGAAGAAAATTGTCAAAGTGGGAAGTCTGAATGTGCGTAGATGTTGTGCAAATGATGAGGAAGAGATGATTGTGGATTTTAAGAATGAGAAGAAGCTGGATATCCTGGCTTTAAGTGAAACAAAGCTGAAGGGGGTGGGAGAGTTTTAGTGGAGAGGAATAAATGGGATTAGGTCATGGGTTTCTAATAGAGTTAGAGCTAAAGAAGGAGTAGCAAAAATGTTGAAGAATAAGCTATGGCAGGAAAAGAGGGACTATACATGTATTAATTCAAGGATTATATGGAGTAAAATAAAGGTTGGATGTAAAAAGCGGGTTATAGTAAGTGTATATGCACCCGGAGAAGAGAGAAGTGTAGAGGAGAGAGAGAGATTTTGGGAAATGTTGAGTGAATGCGTGGGGAGTTTTGAATCAAGTGTGAGAGTAATAGTGGTTTGGGATTTCAATGCTAAAGTGGGTAAAAATGTTATGGAGGGAGTAGTAGGTAAATTTGGGGTGCCAGGGGTAAATGAAAATGGGAAGCCTTTAATTGAGCTATGTGTAGTAAAAGGTTTAGTTATAAGTAATACATAGTTTATGAAGAAGAGGATAAATAATTATACAAGTTATGATGTAGCACGTAATGAAAGTAGTTTGTTAGATTATGTATTGGTGGACAAAAGGTTGATGGGTAGGCTCCAGGATGTACATGTTCATAGAGGGGCAACTGACATATCGGATCATTATTTAGTTGTAGCTACAGTTAGAGTAACAGGTAGATGGGAAAAGAGGAAAATGGCAACAACAAGTAAGAGGGAGGTGAGAGTGTATAAACAAAGGGAGGAGGAAGTTCGGGTGAGATATAAGCAATTGTTGGCAGAAAGGTGGGCTGGTGCAAGTATGAGTAGTGAAGGGGGGGGGGGTTGAAGAGGGTTGGAATAGTTTTAAAAATGCAGTATTAGAATGTGGGGCAGAAGTTTGTGGTTATAGGAGGGTGGGTGCAGGAGGAAAGAGGAGTGATTGGTGGAATGATGAAGTAAAGGGTGTGATAAAAGAGAAAAAGTTAGCTTATGAGAGGTTTTACAAAGCAGAAGTGTTATAAGAAGAGTAGAGTATATGAGAGTATAAGAAAGGTGAAGAGAGTGGTGAGAGAGTGCAAAAGGAGGGCAGATGATAGAGTGGGAGAGGTACTGTCAAGAAATTTTAATGAAAATAAGAAAAAAAAATTGGAGTGAGTTGAACAAGTTAAGAAAGCCTAGGGAAAGTATGGATTTGTCAGTTAAAAACAGAGTAGGGGAGTTAGTAGATGGGGAGATGGAGGTATTAGGTAGATGGCGAGAATATTTTGAGGAACTTTTAAATGTCGACAAAGGAAGGGAGGCGGTAATTTCATGCACTGGACAGGGAGGTATACCATCTTTTAGGAGTGAAGAAGAACAGGATGTGAGTGTGGGGGAGGTGTGTGAGGCATTACGTAGAATGAAAGGGGGTAAAACAGCTGGAACTGATGGGATCATGACAGAAATGTTAAAAGCAGGGGGGGATATAGTGTTGGAGTGGTTGGTACTTTTGTTTAATAAATGTATGAAAGAGGGGAAGGTACCTAGGGATTGGCGGAGAGCATGTATAGTCCCTTTATATAAAGGGAAAGGAGATTGTAAAAATTATAGAGGAATAAGTTTACTGAGTATACCAGGAAAAGTATACGGTAGGGTTATAATTGAAAGAATTAGAGGTAGGACAGAATGAAGGATTGCGGATGAGCAAGGAGGTTTCAGAGTGGGTAGGGGATGTGTAGATCAAGTGTTTACATTGAAACATATATGTGAACAGTATTTAGATAAAGGTAGGGAAGTTTATATTGCATTTATGGATTTAGAAAAGGCATATGACAGAGTGGATAGGGGAGCAATGTGGCAGATGTTGCAAGTATATGGAATAGGTGGTAAGTTATTAAATGCTGTAAAGAGTTTTTATGAGGATCGTGAGGCTCAGGTTAGGGTGTGTAGAAGAGAGGGAGAATACTTCCCAGTAAAAGTAGGTCTTAGACAGGGATGTGTAATGTCACCATGGTTGTTTAATATATTTATAGATGGGGTTGTAAAAGAAGTAAATGCTAGGGTGTTCGGGAGAGGGGTGGGATTAAATTATGGGGAATCAAATACAAAATGGGAATTGACACAGTTGCTTTTTGCTGATGATACTGTGCTTATGGGAGATTCTAAAGAAAAATTGCAAAGGTTAGTGGATGAGTTTGGGAGTGTGTGTAAAGGTAGAAAGTTGAAAGTGAACATAGAAAAGAGTAAGGTGATGAGGGTATCAAATGATTTAGATAAAGAAAAATTGGATATCAAATTGGGGAGGAGGAGTATGGAAGAAGTGAATGTTTTCAGATACTTGGGAGTTGATGTGTAGGCAGATGGATTTATGAAGGATTAGGTTAATCATAGAACTGATGAGGGAAAAAAGGTGAGTGGTGCGTTGAGGTATATGTGGAGACAAAAAACGTTATCTATGGAGGCAAAGAAGGGAATGTAAGAAAGTATAGTAGTACCAACACTCTTATATGGGTGTGAAGCTTGGGTTGTGAATGCAGCAGCGAGGAGACGGTTGGAGGCAGTGGAGATGTCCTGTCTAAGAGCAATGTGTGGTGTAAATATTATGCAGAAAATTCAGAGTGTGGAAATTAGGAGAAGGTGTGGAGTTAATAAAAGTATTAGTCAGAGGGCTGAAGAGGGGTTGTTGAGGTGGTTTGGTCATTTAGAGAGAATGGATCAAAGTAGAATGACATGGAGAGCATTTAAATCTGTAGGGGAAGGAAGGCGGGGTAGGGGTCGTCCTCGAAAAGGTTGGAAGGAAGGGGTAAGGGAGGTTTTGTGGGCGAGGGGCTTGGACTTCCAGCAGGCGTGCGTGAGCGTGTTCGATCGGAGTGAATGGAGACGAATGGTATTTGGGACCTGACGATCTGTTGGAGTGTGAGCAGGGTAATATTTAGTGAAGGGATTCAGGGAAACCGGTTATTTTCATATAGTCGGACTTGAGTCCTGGAAATGGGAAGTACAATGCCTGCACTTTAAAGGAGAGGTTTTGGGATATTGGCAGTTTGGAGGGATATGTTGTGTATCTTTATACGTATATGCTTCTAAACTGTTGTATTCTGAGTACCTCTGCAAAAACAGTGATTATGTGTGAGTGTGGTGAAAGTGTTGAATGATGATGAAAGTATTTTCTTTTTGGAGATTTTCTTTCTTTTTGGGTCACCCTGCCTCGGTGGGAGACGGCCGACTTTTTAAAATATATATATACGTATATATATATATACATATGCAATAAGATCACAGTAAACAGGTGATTTCAAAATATACATGGAATTTTTTGAAACAAGGTTGCTTAACACAATCCTCCCTAATAGAGCTAAATGGTTCAGATATGTTGATGATATTTTGTGTCTTATGCCCAAAAATGTAGATATACACCATTTTCTTGAAAAATTAAATAGCTTAGCCCATTCTATAAACTTTACTGTTGAGTTTGAAGAAAATAACTCATTGCCTTTTCTAGATGTTTTAATTATTAAGGGTAATAATGAATTCAAATTTAAAATTTACAGAAAACCTACAAATAACTGTTCCTATGTCCACTATTATTCCTCGCATCAAGATAGAGTCAAACTGTCTGTTTTCTCATCAATGTTTTTGAGAGCTTTACGAATTTGTAGTCCTGAGTTCATAGATGAGGAAATATCCAAAATTTATGAAATAGGTAATGATTTAAAATACCCAAGAAATGTAATTGATAAATCTTTTAAAGTTGCTAGGAACACTTTTTATAATCCAAAAAGGGCAACCAGCCTTATTCAACTAAAAATATGTTGGTTCTCCCTTACCATGAAAACTTGGTTGATATGCCTTCTCTTCTTAAGACTTTTAATATTAAAGTTGTATTCAAAAATCTTGATACAGTAAAAAAACTTTTGATTAAGAATTCCCCCCAAAATTGCTGATGGATGTGTCTATAAGATTCCTTGTAAAATTTGCGATAAAGTTTATTACGGTCAAACTGGTAAAAATCTCGAACTAAGATTAAAACAACATAAATATAGCATTAGAACTGGACAAGATTCCAATGCTCTATTTATTCATGTAAGAGATTTTAACCATCCAATTGATTTTCAAAAAGTTGAGAAAGTATATCAAGCAAGTCCATGGTCGAGAGAATATAATTGAATCTTGTTTCATAAAAAGCAGTTTTGACAATAATATGAATATTTCCTTTGGTTTATTATAAATTAGATCCATTTATAATTAATAGAATTTGGGAAGAATTTAATAATACACTGGACAAATAAATAGCTTGGGGGTGAGTTTTGCAAAGGACCTATCCAAGTTGGCTCGCCGCGCGTCACGTGTTTAACCGTTGTGGGATTTGATAGTGAGGTGCTGGCCGACCCCTTATATAGCTTCCTTGGATGCTTCACTTTCATAGTTCCTTGATAATGTGAGTAGTCACGAAAGCGCTTGGAATTTCTCTATTCTTTCAGAGTGGTTGTTTTGCATATATACATATATATATATATATATATATATATATATATATATATATATATAATATATATATATATATATATATATATATATATATATATATATATATATATATGATATTTTTGCTTGTTATTTTTATATCTTTCATTGTCTTTGTCATTCTAACATTTTTATGTATTCTATTTCACTACTAACAGTGAGCGAGGAGCAGCTGGCCCTGGCAGTGCTTCACCGCTGGGAGGAGGTGCCACGGGTGGGAGCCAGACTGGTGCCAGAACACATTGAGACTCGTCCTCTCTTTAACCCGGATAAGCCTGGCATCGAACAGGTGAGTAACATCATGCTGACGAATAGTGACTTACAATCCACCTGTGCGTGGAGTCGCATGGCACAACAGTGAACTTGGTGAACACTTTGATGCTCAGTTTCAGACATCTACTGGTAATCAGTTCTCAGTTAATGTCGGAAACACTAATTCTCTTCTCCAGTCTGCCGAATTGCAATGTGTTAGCTGTGGTATGTTTAGTCTCCAAGGTCTCCTGAGGTTTTCACCCCGTAGACTTTATCCCGGAAACCACGCCCGCACCCCCAGACCAGCTCAATTCGGCATTAAATTAACTACTGGGCGCCTCAGCTAATGGGCCTGACTGCTGAGGGACGCTCAGCCTCATTCATTTTTTTTTTATAAGGACGAATTTTGTTTCCGATTTTTTTTATCTAATATCTACCTTTCTTATATTAGGTAAACGGACACATGTGCAATTTATGTGATATTTTGTGGTGCCAACGTTTCGCTTTCCAGGAACTTCGTCAAGCTTGGAGAGCGAAACGATGCCACAATAAAAGTCACATTGGTTGCACATGTATCATTTTAGCTAAGATGCTACAGGTAATTCATTTATTTTTACTCCCTTTCTAATCCTTATTTGACACCTTACACTTCTTGATAAATACTAAATAATTAATTTTCTTTGATATCAGTTTTTACGGGATTGATTACAATTAATTTAAATACATAAAATATGCGAGAAACAACTTCGTGACTTGAGGCTCCTGACAACTGATGGATGTTGTACCATCACCAGTTTTGTTCTTGCTCTCAGATCGCGTGTTTTATTGCTATGTGAATTCAGTTTTTGCCTTCAGCTTATGGTAATTAGTTCATGGCACATGATTAACACTGTTTCATTAACTTAAAGATTATAGAACTGTGACTGTGATAATGGTATACAGTACCTGCAACTTGATAAGTAAGAAACATGTGCAACAGTTTGGTATCTGTTAGGTAAAAGGACAAAAGTGAAACTAGTGTGACATTTTATTGTGGCAACGTTTCGCTCTCCAGGTGCTTTTGGCTTGACAAAGCTCCAAGAGAAAGAAGCGTTACCACAATAAAATATCACATTAGTTGCACTTGTGTCCTTTTATCTAACATATTTTAAGTAATTCTACCACCATTATTACAGTTTGATATCTTTATAAGAAATAAAGATACGTAACTGATTCACATGTGTCTTACACATATGTCTTACACAAGTGTATCATGTGTTTTTATTTGTGTCTAAGCTGCTCCAGTCACTATGATCTCAGACACTTTCCTCACACTTCTCCTTAACTACCTACGAGCATATCACTACTAATGTGAAACCATATTCCACATTAAGCATTGAGAGAATATTTCAAGCCTTTGGAAAAAAAATCAAGAATTCTAGACTATTTCGAGACTGAAAGGAATATGTTTTTAATGTTAAAATACTGATAAGTACCTACGCGGAGAGGGCACTGAATCTGCACTGTCTGGAAAGGCGTAGAATTAGGACTGATATGACTGAGGTGTATAAATGGAAGACAGGACTAAATAAAGAGGATATAAATAAGGTGCTAACAATACGTAACCAAGACAGGACTCGCAGTAATGGGTTCAAGTTGGAGAAATTTAGATTTAGAAAAGGTACAGGAGAGCAGTAGTTCGGTAGTAGAGTTGAATGAAGCTACACGGCGGGTTTGATTCATCAAACTCGCCGTGTAGCTTCATTCAAACGATTGTCCTGTGTGGTTTTAAGAATAAGTTATACAAGGTCATGAGTAGGCGTGAGTTAGATTTGCCTAGCATAGACCAGTAGGCCTACAGCAGCGTTTCTTTCTTCTTATGTTCTTAAGATACAATATGCGATTTACGATGTTTATAAAGACGTTTCGCCCACCATGGCTTTATCAAGCCATGATAAAATCCCCGAAGTACGAAAGGTTTCCTCAGTGAAAGCCATAAACTTCATATCATGTCTTATTAACGTACAGTGAAGGTATTATGACACGCCTCGTAAACACGTAGTTTTTGACAGAGGATGAAATTGTTAATAAAACGAGGAGTAAGATGTCCCAAGATTTTCAAGACTGATGTCTTATCCACGTTTCCACTAACAGGGCAAAGTTGAGATGTGGGTAGACATGTTCCCGATGGACATGCCCCTGCCCGGCCCTCCCTTGGACGTGACCCCGCGCAAGCCCAAGAGCTACGAACTGCGCATCATCATATGGAACACTGACGACGTTGTACTGGAGGACGATGCCTTCTTCACCGGCGAGAAAATGTCAGATATTTATGTCAAGGGGTGAGTACGAGCCTTACAAAATAACAGTGTTCCTTTGTCTAGTGTTTGTATGGTATCTCATGTCTCTTATCAGTTTAGCAGCCTCGTATATCATATCCCTGCAGGGTATATTACAAACCAGTAGAGTATATCGTTCTCCAGCTGGGTATATTATACTTGAGTCAGGTATATCATACACTTAAACGTGTCCAAGTTGGATATACGATATCTCAGTCGACAATGTCGATAAGTAAAAAAGATGAGTGAAACAGTATATAAGTGAAACTCGAACGTCAAAATTTGTAAGACAGAGTAAACATGAGGGAAGAGAGTTAGTATATGACTGGCCAGTTCTGCCAGCCTGAAATTTTCAGCTATTTTTGCATACCACATATACTGACACGTCAACTACCAATGAACAACGTGGAACAAACTCTATAGCCTTTTCATTACTACTACAAAATTACTTCTTATTAACATATTGGATATTCTTCACCGTTTTCAACGAAAACATGCAATCTGTGTCAACGAAAACATGCAATCTGTGTCAACGAAAACATGCAATCTGTGTCAACGAAAACATGCAATCTGTGTCAACGAAAACATGCAATCTGTGTCAACGAAAACGATGGTCTCTCCCTTATGAAAAATAAAAAGAAAAAATTAAAATTAATTCAGAGAAACAATTGGAATTAAAAGCATGCCTTAAAGACACATTTATTACCAGTTATAAAGAAAATAAAAATATATACACAAAAATGCTGAATGTTCCTCACCGACTTACGATTGGTAAAAATATATATCTGCCTGATGATTTAATCATGGGAAAGCGCTAAGCCCTGAGGTATCATATAGCACCTGGGTAACTTGAGATATTCAAACTCGATCAAGAGCCCCTCAGAGATATCAAGGCACCTCATCCCTTGCAGGGGAAATACTGCAGAAACCTCTCGTACGGATAACAGAGGCACTGATGGATTGAGAGGCCGCATGAAAGATGCAGTGATGGTTAAAGCGAAGCTGGAGCATCAAGTTACGGGAGGTAACTACACCTGGTGTTGGGCACTCAGTGATGTGGAGGACAACTGTATGTGGGTGGTATAGTTCCAGCTGTAAGTGGGTGGTATCTATCCAGGTGTGTGTGGGTGTTATGGATCCAGGTGTATGTGGGTGGAATGGATCCAGGTGTATGTGGATGGTATGGATACAGGTGTATGTGGGTGGTATAGTTCCAGCTGTAAGTGGGTGGTATCTATCCAGGTGTGTGTGGGTGGTATGGATCCAGGTGTATGTGGGTGGAATGGATCCAGGTGTATGTGGATGGTATGGATACAAGTGTATGTGGGTGGTATGGCTCCAGATGTAAGTGGGTGGTATGGATCCAGGTGTATTTGGGTGGTATGGCTCCAGGTGTATGTGGGTGGTATGGTTCCATGTGTGTGTGGGTGGTATCTATCCAGGTGTATGTGGGTGGTATGGCTCCATGTGTATGTGGGTGGTATGGCTCCAGGTGTATGTGGGTGGTATGGCTTCAGGTGTATTTTGGTGGTATGGCTCCAGGTGTATGTCGGTGTTACGTCTCCAGGTAAATGTGGGTGGTATGTCTCCACGTGTATGTGGGTGGTATGTCTCCAGGTGTACGTGGATGATATGGCTCCAGGTGTATGTGGGTGGTATGGATCCAGGTGTATGTAGGTGGTATGGCTCCAGGTGCATTTTGGTGGTATGGCTCCAGGTGCATGCGGGTGGTAAGTTTCCAGGTGTATGTGGGTGGTATGTCTCCAGGTGTATGTGGGTGGTATGTCTCCAGGTGTATGTGGGTGGTATGGCTCCAGGTGTATGTGGAGGGTATGGCTCCAGGTGTAGGTGGGTGGTATGTCTCCAGGTATATGTGGTGGTATGGCTCCAGGTGAATGTGGCTGGTATGGCTCCAGGTGTATGTGGGTGGTATGGCTTCAGGTGTATGTGGGTGGTATGGATACAGATGCATGTTGGTGGTATGGCTCAAGGTGTATGTGGGTGGTATGGCTCCAGTTGCATTTGGGTGGTATGGCTCCAGGTGTATGTGGGTGGTACGTCCCCAGGTGTATGTGGGTGGTATGGATCCAGGTGTATGTGTGTGGTATGACTCCAGGTGTATGTGGGTGGTACGGGTCCAGGTGTATGAGGGTGGTATATCTCTAGGTGTATGTGGGTGGTATGTCTCCAGGTGTATGTGGGTGGTATATCTCCAGGTGTATGTGGGTGGTATGTCTCCAGGTGTATGTGGGTGGTATGGCTCCAGGTGAATGTCGATGGTATGGCTCCAAGTGTATGTGTGTGGTATGTCTACAGGTGTATGTGGTGGTATGGCTCCAGGTGAATGTGGGTGGCATGGCTCCAGGTGTATGTGGGTGGTATGGCTCCAAGTGTATGTGGGTGGTATGGATACAGATGTATGTTGGTGATATATCTCGAGGTGAATGTGGGTGGTATGGCTCCAGGTGTATTTGGGTGGTATGGCTCCAGGTGTATGTGGGTGGTACGTCTCCAGGTGTATGTGGGTGGTATGGATCCAGATGTATGTGTGTGGTATGGCTCCAGGTGTATGTGGGTGGTATGGCTCCAGGTGTATGTGAGTGGTATGGCTCAAGGTGTATGTGGGTGGTATGGCTCCAGCTGTATGTGGGTGGTATGGCTCCAGGTGTATGTGGGTGGTATGGCTTCAGGTGTATGTGGGAGGTATGGCTCCAGATGTATGTAAGTGATATGGCTCCATGTGTATGTGGGTGGTATGGATCCAGGTGTATGTGGGTGGTATGGCTCCATCTGTATGTGGGTGGTATGGCTCGAGGTGTATGTGGGTGGTATGGGTCCAGGTGTATGTGGGTGGTATGGCTCCAGTTGTATGTGGGTGGTATGGCTCGAGGTGTATGTGGGTGGTATGGGTCCAGGTGTATGTGGGTGGTACGGCTCCAGCTGTATGTGGGTGGTATGGCTCGAGGTGTATGTGGGTGGTATTGCTCCAGGTGTATGTGGGTGGTATGGCTCCAGCTGTATGTGGGTCGTATGGCTCGAGGTGTATGTGGGTGCTATGGCTCCAGGTGTATATGAGTGGTGTGGCTCATGGTGTATGTGGGTGGTATGGCTCCAGGTGTATGTGGGTGGTATGGGTCCAGGTGTATATGGGGGTATGGCTCGAGGTGCATGTGGGTGGTATGGGTCTAGGTGTATTTGGGTGGTATGGCTCGAGGTGTATGTGGGTGGTATGGCTTCAGGTGAATGTGGGTGGTATGGCTGGAGGTGTATGTGGGTGGTATGGCTGGATGTGTATCTGGGTGGTATGGCTGGAGTTGTATGTGGGTGGTATGGCTGGAGGTGTATGTGGGTGGTATGGCTCGAGGTGTATGTGGGTGGTATGGCTGTAGGTGTATGTGGGTGGTATGGCTGGAGGTGTATGAGGGTGGTATGGCTCGAGGTGTATGTGGGTGGTATGGCTGGAGTTGTATGTGGGTGGTGTGGCTGGAGGTCTATGTGGGTGGTGTGGCTGGAGGTGTATGTGGGTGGAGTGGCTGGAGGTGTATGTGGGTGGTATGGCTGGAGGTGTATGTGGGTGGTATGGCTCGAGGTGTATGTGGGTGGTATGGCTGGAGGTGTATGTGGGTGGTATGGCTGGAGGTGTATGAGGGTGGTATGGCTCGAGGTGTATGTGGGTGGTGTGGCTGGAGGTGTATGTGGGTGGTATGGCTGGATGTGTATGTGGGTGGTATATCTCGAGGTGTATGTGGGTGGTATGGCTGGAGGTGTATGTGGGTGGTGTGACTGGAGGTGTATGTGGGTGGTCTGGCTGGAGGTGTATGTGGGTGGTGTGGCTGGAGGTGTATGTGGGTTGTGTGGCTGGAGGTGCATGTGGGTGGTGTGGTTGGAGGTGTATGTGGGTGGTATGGGTCCAGGTGTATGTGGGTGGTATGGCTGGAGGTGTATGAGGGTGGTATAGCTCGAGGTGTATGTGGGTGGTATGGCTGGAGTTGTATGTGGGTGGTGTGGCTGGAGGTGTATGTGGGTGGTATGGCTGGAGGTGTATGTGGGTGGTGTGGCTAGAGGTGTATGTGGGTGGTATGGCTGGAGGTTTATGTGGGTGGTATGGCTGGAGGTGTATGTGGGTGGTATGGCTGGAGGTGAATGTGGGTGGTATGGCTGGAGGTGTATGAGGGTGGTATGGCTCGAGGTGTCTGTGGGTGGTATGGTTGGAGTTGTATGTGGGTGGTGTGGCTGGAGGTGTATGTGGGTGGTGTGGCTGGAGGTGTATGTGGGTGGTGTGGCTGGAGGTGTATGTGGGTGGTGTGGCTGGAGGTGTATGTGGGTGGTATGGGTGGAGGTGTATGTGGGTGGTATGGCTCGAGGTGTATGTGGGTGGTATGGCTCGAGGTGTATGTGGGTGGTGTGACTGGAGGTGTATGTGGGTGGTGTGGCTGGAGGTTTATGTGGGTGGTGTGGCTGGAGGTGTATGTGGGTGGTGTGGCTGGAGGTGCATGTGGGTGGTGTGGTTGGAGGTGTATGTGGGTGGTATGGGTCCAGGTGTATGTGGGTGGTATGGATCCAGGTGTATGTGGGTGGTATGGCTCGAGGTGTATGTGGGTGATGTGTCTCCAGGTGTATGTGGGTGGTATGGCTCGAGGTGTATGTGGGTGGTATGGGTCCAGGTGTATGTGGGTGGTATGGCTGGAGGTGTATGTGGGTGGTATGGCTGGAGGTGAATGTGGGTGGTATGGCTGGAGGTGTATGAGGGTGGTATGGCTCGAGGTGTATGTGGGTGGTATGGTTGGAGTTGTATGTGGGTGGTGTGGCTGGAGGTGTATGTGGGTGGTGTGGCTGGAGGTGTATGTGGGTGGTGTGGCTGGAGGTGTATGTGGGTGGTGTGGCTGGAGGTGTATGTGGGTGGTATGGTTGGAGGTGTATGTGGGTGGTATGGCTCGAGGTGTATGTGGGTGGTATGGCTGGAGGTGTATGTGGGTGGTGTGACTGGAGGTGTATGTGGGTGG